TCCCATTCGAGCGTATCGATATGTTCGCATCCGGCCGACGATCCGAGGGTTGGCGCACTATCGACGGCTGACCACGATCTAAAGTCGAACAGAAATGTATAATAAGTAAGGATATAGTCAGTGTGAAATTAAAATAACTTACCCGCAGTCAACTCAACGTCCAAATCCTCATCTGGGCGACTGCGTTTCTCATCTAAGAGGGAAAATAATTTATACTTATTTATATAAGGCCCAAGTCAATGTGACTTACTTCCAATAATGTCGCTGGTGCGTGGTCGAATTTTTCCCATGAATTTACTGATTTTATCGTTGTGGGCTAGACGTTTCGCCTGGGGCAATGGACCTGGACAACTCTCGTCTACTACTTTCGAGCATTGGCGGTGTATATTCAATTTACAGTCTGCCACAGAGAAACCAATGGAATCGTATTTGTATTTAAGGAAGCAACTTTAAGAGAGGCGCGCTCACCTGTACAATGATAACCTTGCGGACTCACACCCCAGATAATCGTCTGACAATGATTGCAGTGCGTCACTTCATAGTATTGACGCAATACCAATGGATGACCACGAACATTCATCTGCAGGGTGATAGATTTGTAACGCAAAAGTTCGATGTAGAATAAATGTTGCATTCTATAAAGCTCACCTTGCGATTTTTGCCCATAATACGTGACTTGAAGCTCTTGTCTCTGCTTACAAAGTGGTGAACCCGCTCGACAATGCTGCTCGGCGGCGGACGAGTGTTGAAAATTCGATAGATCACTGTGGAAAGGGCTGAGCACAAGGCCACCTTACGCACATCCTCCGGCGGCGAACCATTCTCATCCTCACTAGATGGGCAAAAACTGTAAGCTAAGTGAATACCATAGCAACGAAAGCACTCACATCAGCGCATGCAGATTGGGCATCAAGTACTTGTCGATGATCTGCTCCTTCAACTTGTCCGTCTTCGCCTCGGCCAGCTTGTCGTCCGTGGGTCCGTAGATGGTGCCCAGGCCAGCGGTGCGCTTCTGCTGGAACTCGCGCAGCTGCTCGGTGATCAAATCCTTGGCCCGCTTGCGGCTGCGCAGGAAGACGGTGCGCAGGATCTCCACCTTGTCGAACTCCAGCTGCAGCACATTGTCCACCTCGCGGGCCAGCGACTCATCCTGGCGATACCACGACAGGGGGGCACGTGGCACCAGGAATGTCGAGTGGATCTCGTAGGCCCACTTGCGCATGTCCTTGGAGGTGCCCTCCTTGTACAGCTCGGTGATCAGGTAGAAGAGAAGTGGCGCGGGATCCGAGTTCGAGATCACGTAGTTCAGGAAGATGGCTAGGAAGGTGACGTTCTCGGCCTCCAACAAACGCGTCAGATTGTTGAACGGTCCGTTCTCGTCGATGAAGGGCTCCTCCATGTCCGAGGAGTTCTCGTCCTCCATCGAGATGATCTCCTTCTGCGTGTCGTTCGACTGGGCCGCCTGTATGTGGCCGGAATGTAGGGACGTCGGGATGGGCGATGAGGCTCCTGCCATCGGTGTAAACTGATGCGACTCGATAAAGACTCCTGCTGCAGCTCCGCGACAGTTCTCGTTGGGATCCTCCAGCACGGTCATGTGCGAGCTGGATAAATACGGCGGAGGCGGTGTTCCGGGCGGAGAGACCTCGCCATCTTTCTCCACAATCTCCCACGAGCCCGAAGTAGTTTTTGTCAAGCGATCTGTAAATGATATAGTGTTATAGTTTTCTTGGCTATGGGTATAGCAATCAAAAATAGTGTGGAACAATAATAAGGTTAAGATATTAAAAATCAGTACATTGAAGAGTGATTTTTAAGAAACTATTAACAGTTTTCTTTTTTATTGATAAACTAACATCATGTTGTTAAAAGAAAAATGTATCTATGACTTGAAGGTACCTTTTTGAGCACTTTAAATTGTTTCACTATCATTATTTCGACCGCAGCTGTATTAATTTTCTTACCCGGATGTCGTGGATGCATATTGTCAGGTGAAGAACCCACTCGTCGATGCTTATTTTTTACCAAATTCGGTGTCTGTCCCAAGGCCTGTGAATTTGAAAGAGTTAATAAATTATTAAGTTTGCAGTTGCCAAGGTTCTTTAACATAATTGAAACCCAAGTCGTACATAAATAACAAATAATTATAATTTGACCTGCAAATAGCTTTCAACGTCTACATCTCCCACAAATAATAACAATAATAATTTCCTGCGTGTTATTCAGGTTTAATGTGTAACCAAAGGTGGTGTTGTTTTCGGTTGCTGTTAGTTGAGCTAGCGAAAAGCTAATTAAAATTAATATTATTAACATTGGTAACTTATGATAACGTCGATTAAATAATCAGAAGCATGAAACAGAGAAATGTTAGAGAGATGGAAAGGGTATTAGTGTATTAGGTTGTTTGGCAGTGTTTTTTTTTTTTTTGGTTGGCAGAGAGATAGAGAGATCATCGAGTGATTCGTTAGCTACTTACTCCTGTGGCCTGGCCACCGCTCATTTGATGTTGCTGCTGCTGCTGCTGATATTGCTGCAGTTGCTGCACAATGTTGGGTCGCTGGGATAAGGGAAAAGCTATGTTCAGGTTGTCGTTCTGCACGGCCGTTGTGGTGGAGACCAGGGGATAGTTGAAGGCTGTGCCCACGGAATTGGGCTGCGCCAGGTTCTGACAACTGCCGCGGCTCATGTCCTCCGTCATCATGCCCGGCAAACGGGGCGGCAGCGGTGGCGGACCACCGTCCACTTCGATGGATCCTCCTCCGGCGGCCCCACCACCCGCTGCACAGGCCGATTCCATTTGCAGAAACATCTGGGTGGACATCTTGGGATCGGACAAGGCCTTCGTTTTGATCTTGGATCGCTTGGACGACTTGGCATTGCTCGGACTGTTGTCTGTGCTGCTCGGCTGCTGCTGCGACCTGTTCAACTGGGGACTGGTGGCCCGATCGAGATCCGAAACAGGAGCCACCAGGTGCGTGGCATTGCCATTCTTCAGGTCCAAGTTCAACTGCCGGGGGGGATTCCTCTGCGGCAGTGGCGGCGGCACATCCTCCTCGATCAAACTCCTCGAAATCAGGAACTTGTTCTTGCCCTTTGACGAGGGTCCAGACGAATCCTTGAATCCTCGATGCTGCTGCTGATGGAAGTACGCCTGCTGCGAGGTGGGAGTGCTGCTGTGCTGCTGGTGCATGGACTGCGACATGGCCTCCTGCCGCTGCTGCTGCTGCTGCTGCAGAAAGTCCGTGGTGAGACCGAACGGAGACGAGGAGGGGGTTAGGTCCTTCTCGATCTTGTTCTTGCGCGTGCCCAGCGACAGGGACGAAAGGGAACGCGGCAGGAGGGACAGGAATGCAGGTGAAGTGCTTGCTGGCTGCTGCTGTTGCTGCTGTGGCGGATAATTGTTGTTGTGGAGATTGTGGAGATTGAGATTGTGGTGGTGGTGAAGTTGATGGAATTGCTGATTGCTGTGAGTGGCGGACGCGGACAAGTGTTGGATTTGGTTGGGCGTTAGTAATGCTGTGTTCTTATTGCCGGCGGCCGCCTGAAGTTTAACAGTCGGTGCATCCTGTGTTAGGGTTTCCATTAACATGGGTGTGCGTTAGAATGCCGCGAGATGGAAGAGAAAGATATAGAGATCATGTATCATCATTCGGTTTCTATTTTAGCTGTAGCTGATTCCCTTTGGAACACTCTCGTTTTATTGAGCGCACAAACAGTCAAAGAGCGTTGTTAGCTTGTATTATTTTTAATATTGGCTGGGTTAATAGAGCTGCTTGGCTTAGCGAGGGACAGGGGATTCCTGGGGCTTATGGAGACTTCGCTGACCTGGCTTACCTAGAGGATAAACCCTATGAATAAAGCCCCCTTACTCACCTCGGCTCCCACCTGATGCAGTTGCTCGCGCAGTTTACGGATGTTCGCCTCCGACAGCTTGTAGCTGGGATTGTTCTGATCGCTCTTCAAACGCTCCAGATTGAGTTTCTCCTGCTCCAGCATTTTCTGCAACGTCTGGATCTTGTACGTCTCCATCTCCCGCCGTTTGATGCTCTGCAATTGGCCATAAGTTAATTAAATAGTTTTGTGGACTTAGTTCTTAGCTTTCAATACTCACATCCACTGGTTGTGGTCCAGTGATGGAAGCCGTGCGATCTCGTCCAGAAAGAATGGGTGTCGAGGGCGTCACCACGGACACGGAAGTGGGTCGCGTTAGCTTGTGACTTCGCTTCACTGCCAGTTCCACAGTTGTAGAAGCTAAAATAAACCAAAAGAAACAATGCTTTGATTAGCCTGTCTGAAATATTTTTGTCTTTGGGAATATTGCCTACATAATGAACTTTAGAAGAAACCTCCATTAGCCAAATTTATAATGTTCCTCAACAGATTCATAAAGTTTGTGCTCTTTGCCGGGACATTTTACTTGGGCAAGGAACTCGGTGTTTGGGACGATCCAGATCCAGTCGAACTCAAGGGTAGTATACCACCACCTAGACTTGAAACCGAAGAAGCTGTTGATACGGAGAGTTCCAGCGAAAAAACAGTAGACCAGAAGGAGAAAACTGAATTTCAGAATACTTTTTTCGATGATGAGGACAAACGAAAGCTTCAACGCCAAAAAGAGGACTTGGAGAAAAAGTTTTGCCCCCGGGGAAGCATCTGCGAGCCTCCGCCAAAGCCCTTAAGCGAAAGTGTGGGCGATGCGCTCTTGGACACTTGGCTGGCCCTAAAAAAGATCCCATCCTACTGGAGTCGAGCGGCTGAAAATCTGGGCAATACCATTTCTCGTTTCTTCAAGGGTGATTAGAAACCAATTACAAGTTAATAGATTGCCAAAATAATAGAAATCCAAGCTCTGGACCGTGTTAATTATAAAACCGAATATTAATACTTTTGCAAACGAAGTAATCAAGACATGTTCTGTTAAAAATTACTCAAAATTTAGTTGTTAAAATATAACACAGGCAATAAACGACAAAAACACACACCAAAATTATAACAAAAATATGGCATATAAATTAATTGTTCAATGGGGAGCCCTCGCGGGCATTACCATGTGCCAGAAAGAAGAGAAGGTGCTGCCCTCCGAGAATCTTGGCAGCAAGGTTTTTCCTATTTTAGAAGAAAGCCACGGCCAGTTCAGTTTCCTTGCTGCCCACAACTGCAGCTTGGCTCTTCAGCGAGGATTCTACTTCTCCCTTCGCATGCCCGACTGGGCAAAGGATTTCAAACAACAGACCCAGAAGATTCTAGCCCACGGATTCGAGCCCCTAACGTTAAACTCCAAAAGCAAAGACTCAAAGAGGTCGAAGTACTATGGAGACCATCGTTCGGAGCATTATGGCATACTTTTTGAAGATATTCCTCGAGAGATGCAAATTCCCGATCCAACAAAGTCCCGGCGCCCAGTGCGATCACCCAAGATCAAGGATGACTTCACATGCGGCAAAAGAGTGTCACCCTAGAGCTGTCAAACATTCGAAAGCATTTGAACACCTCATTTGGAGATTGGGGTTCCAGCAGCGCTAGTTAAAATGGTTGTGGGTCTGATTTTGCGGGCGGGCGTTGTCTACGCAGTGGTCATGGCCACCAAGAACTACGGCGTGTGGGAGTCTCCTGAAAGGACGCAGGAAGTGTTCGACGACACTGTGGAACATATCGAACCCTATGCCGATCGGGCGCGACGCAAGCTGAATATCTGCCCGCCACGACCACCACCGGAGGGCGAGTGGACGTTCTTTGGCATCCACTACTACAATCAGTTTGTTAAATCGGTCTTTGACGTCCTCAGTGTCTTTCCCGCTGGACTAGCTGCGTTCTTGGAAAAGGTCCCTGGCTATGTGACTGCGATTATCGAGAGCATACAGAAGTACATCAAGGAGAGCCAGTCCAAGAAGAAAGAGATCACCATATCCAAGGGGCAGCTGGACGAGACGCCTCTGGTCAGGCCAAAAGGACTGGTGCCGCCGCACTGCAAGGACAAGAACTGCCCGAGGGCTCCTCTTATTCCACCCGAATGCAATCGTAACAGGGATAGCTTCATCTACGAGCCCCGGTTGCCCAAGAAACCGCCGTGCGAGTGTTCCAAGTGCAAGCAACGGCAGGCGGAGAATTCGAAGGACAACGAACGCCAATGCCCCAGACCCCCTAGCAACGAAAAGAGGTGTCCATGCAGCGAAAAGCCCCGTCCAAAAGCCCGCTCGGAACCCATAAAATCTTGCAAACAGTGCCGAAAACCACCTGGTGAAACCGCTGACTAGTAACTCCTTCAAAAAATCTCGCCAAATTTGTTGTACTCCACCATAGACATGATAAATTTGGTTAACATATTTATCGAGCTGTGATTACTTACCTTTTATAAGACCCACTACAGTTGGATGCTTTTCCAGGCGTACTTCATGGCCATTTACCTTAAATAGATAATTTTTAAAATTATGGAAACCATTTTTGAGTTAAAAATAACTTACCTTTAGTATCATATCGCCAGCAACCAGGCCTGCAATTTCGGCTGCCCCGCCGGGCTTAACGCTTTCCACAAACACAGGATTGTCCCCGGAAACCTGCGACAATGAAGAGATTTTTAATTAGAAAATGTTGCTTACTTTCTTTTTAATGACAAAACGTACTTTCAGAGTTTCAACGTTTCTTAAGGCAATAAAGGTCAATATTTCTATTAAGCTAATGGTCTTTTAAACACTTTGTATTGCCAATAAGTTGTGACAATTTTTAAAGTCGTTTCACACCAAAACAGGAAATAATTTTAGTTAACAAATGGTTGAGCTTATTTTAAAAAAATTTTTTTCACCCTTTTATTAGACAGCAATGTATTCTCAACAACCACTCACCTTCATGCCGTATCCATTGCCATCCTTGCGCACAGTCAGGGTTAAATACTGAAAATTTTTTGGTAATGCTAGGCTCGGCGTCGTCGGCGTGGTCGCTGGCGTCGTGGGCTCCAGGGAATGGCCACCGACACCCAGGTCCCGGGAGAGGGGTGTCAGATTGAGACTGCTCCGTTCACCTGGTGCCTGGAGAACAGAATTGGCGTTGTCCGATCCCCCGCCCATTATACTGCCGTTCTTGTTGCTCGCATTGTTATTGTTGGCGGATGTGGGCGTGGCTGGGGCAGAAACACCACCACCAGCTGCAGTTGTGGTGTCACCATTCATCTGGCTCTGCTTGTAGCTCGCTGGCAAGGGCGGCGTCTGCGGAGGCACAGAATTGTGGTTCTCCCGATCTCGATCCTTGTCCCGATCTTTATCCCGATCCCTGTGACCACTCAGACTGCTGGCCAGACTGCTCAGGCTGCTTGCCAGCGATGGAGAACGCGGTATCTTCGACTTGTTGGCCAACTGCTTCTGCTTCTGTTTGCTCTTGGAGTTCTTTACAGATTTCTGCTTGGGCGCTGGCAGCTCGGGAACTGAGTCCGCAACAATGGCTATGGCTGGTGACTTAGGTGCAACCGCAGATGATGGTCCTCCTGCTGCTGTTCCTGCTCCACTTGCAGTTGCAGGGCCTGAGTTACTGGCACCGTTCGTGCTTGGATTGCTGGCTGATGACTCCGGGGGCTGAATGCTTGACTCTTCTGGCAGCTCCTGAACTTCATCGTATTCATGTTCGTCAGTATACAAATCTATTAGCCTGCGAGATGGAAGAAACATGATATTTAATAAACAATTCAGTTTACAGAACTTAAAGGGAGCTACAAAATTCCTTATCACAGTCTTTTATCATAATACCTTAAAAAAAAAATTTATATGTATCTTACTAAAATTATGTAATCTTACTTACTTTAGTAAATTGGTCATTATTAAATTAAATTAAATACTATAACAATAACTATTGTAATACATTCCAAGAGTATTAAACTAATATGTATATTACACTAATAAAGTATTCTTATTTTCTAAATGAGTTCTAATATTTAAAATATTTAATATTATTATCATTTTATTTATTGAGCTTATTTATAAATACTAAATAAACTTAGGAGATTTTTTTTTAAGTTTCCTTACCCTGCAATTTTGATTGTTTTGGAATTGAAAAAAGAGATTTTCAGTTCAATCATTTAGGAAAAGGTAATCAATGCTAAATCATTTCATGAGGGAACTGCTTCTGCAGCAATTCCCATACTGCGATATGCTGTTTTTTTTAAAGCAGATAGCTAGATTAGTGGCTAATCAAGAACTTGCCGTAAATGCGACAAACATGTAACGAAAGTCACGGCCAAAGCCAAAGCCAAGCGATCTGTCGTCGCTGGTGGGTCTCTTTTAATTGAGCTAAAATTAAATCAGCCAGAAGAATAGATACAGTTTAATTGCTGTTTATTTGATCATTTTGCATGTGAATGGAATTGATATACGATGTACGTGCAGACCTCTCTATGTATATAGCGGACTATAATAGAAGCTCATTTCCCGCCTGGTGAATTCATCATTATGAGATGAGATATTTCCATAGCAGCCGGACAAGACCTCCAAAAAGACAATGTTTACATTAACTTTTTTGACTGATTGGCCCATGTCAATAACATGTCTCTCTGTTTGATCTAGAGAATTCTCTCTCTGTCTAAATTTAGCTGCTGATTTTTGAGGAAATCTCGCTGCAGCCCGATGACTGGCTGAATAAAAACCAGTTAAAGTCCACAAATCTAACGTCAAAACCAAATGAGTAACACCTAGCCGAGCTGTTAAAAGATTTAAATCATTTTGCATGCTTATTATACAATCAGTGGTTAAAACACCACCACGATATGCACACACAAGCATGCTTAGAAAGTCATTGGTTTCGCCAATCCATTTGGGCTAAAACTTCCCCTGGTGGCAATAAAATAAATAAATGGTAAAATGTGAAAACTGGCCGCTCCCTAAGTTGGTGCGAGTATATATGTATTAAGTCATCCATTTGGTAGTCGAAATCGCACAGAAACAGAAACAACCCCAAGCTTGGGGGCACTATTGGTAGAAACAATCAGCAAACAAACAGTGCGTTTCAGAACTGTGAGACAGCAAAAAGTTTTACCTCGCCAATTCGCATTTTTCAAACAACGTTAAGTGACTAATCATGGGTCAAATGAATTAGTAGTTTGTTACAAAAATTGATGGGTGATCTAATGCGAAGTTATCTCATGATTTCAACTGGGCTTTAGACGACGACAGAAATTATGTTTCGCTGGAACAGCATTAAAAACACACTAAACTTACTTAAAAATAAAAACCCTCAGAATACATTTAAGAAATATTAAAAAAAAAAAATTTATATAAACTGTAATGTTATTAAAACACGTTTATTTTATTAAAATTGGCTGACTATATCTCTTAACTACTATAGAAACAGTCAGACTCCATTGTTTTTAATATATAATTGATTGAGTCTAAGGTTTTGAGTCTGATTTGGTAAGACCTTGCCTTTCTCATACTTTTGAGCTTTAGTTGTTTAACTTTTTTGTTAGACTACTCGCATAACTCTATGATTTCATTTAAATTATGTATCCGTCACAACCAGTTGACACTGCCTTCGAAATTTGCATTAAAAATGCAACTATACTGCTTGTTCATATGTATAATCGATTGTGGCGTACGAATAAGAGGGAAAATAACAATTATTAAGTCTCCCGAGGACAATGCAATGTGAAAGATAAAGACTTATCGTAATTCGAGCAATTAAGCTGAGTAATATGGTTAATCGGGCGAAATCAAAGGCTGTGCAACCGTTGAACTTACCGTTTTTTTATTGATGGGTCATCCATAGGGTTTTCTGCGATGGCTTTTGCTGGTGCGAAGATGCAAATTCAAAGGCATGCGTAAGCCACTCGAAGTTGGATAGTTCCTAGGGGTATTGTTGGCATTGGTTTTGGACCAGTCACCAGTTGATGCTGAATGTTTTCGCAGCTATTTTTAAATTTGCTAATAAAAACGGCCCGAAATTATTCCAGAAGTGATTTTTCCGTTGCTTTCAGTTCTTTTTTATGGTTTTTGTTGCACTTTTCAATCGGTTTTATATATATATTGTGCACTGCTACTATTCACTTAAACCTGTGCTCACACAAATTCGTTTGAAGACATTATGGCCATTAATGCATGTACATTAAAATATTTGTGTGCTTTTGGGTGGGTGGGTCGATGAAGGGTTAAAGGGGAGGTAGGAGGCGATGGGAGGGTTAAAATGCAGGCAGCGATCTCCTTGCAATTTCATTGTTTTTATTCCAACACACAGATAAGTAAACAGCACACACACACTCGCGCAAAAGCCACACATATTAAAATCCCTCTCTCGCCGCGCTCTTTTTCTCTCTCACTTCCGTTAACGTCTGCGCTCTGGAACGCTCTCTCCCTCGCTCTCTGGCAGCAGTTGTTGCTGCTTTTGTTGTTGTGCTTTTTGCTGACTAGTTTTCACGAAACATTTAATGGATGACGACTTGGGGTTGGGGGAAAACAAGTTTTGGCCGAAAAAATAAATACTATTGAAATACTAAGCGGACATACACACAGGCAGGAAAATTCCAACGATCCTTTCCAGCGTCGCCTATTTTTCATTTGAACAGCTGATTGTTCAATTAGTGTGACAAAAAAAAAACGATTCGCACAAAGCTCACTGTTTTGATTGTTTACCCAAATAAATCAAATCTTGCAGTTTCACTGCTTTTTAATTAAACGCAAATATTTAATTGAATAAATATGTATACACACAAACTGATCCGTGTGTGTGTGTGGGGGTGCGAGTGCGATCATCGCCGCAAACGCAAGGCAAAACAATATGGCTGCCGCCGCCACTTGTTAGAGAAAAACAACTGAATCGGAGTCTCGAAAAAAGTCCAGTGTTTATCGTGTACTCATTAATTATATCGCCGCCCGATCCGCCAAGCCGCACATCCCTAAAATCGAATTAAAGCCATGTACTGCAGTTCAAGAGTTCAGCACTCGACGCACACACACACACTGACACGCCACTCACTGGAAAATAAATACATATGCCGTCATACACTAGCCCCTATAAGCGCGCTGCGTCTGTCTGCGTGCAATAGGTTAGAGATCATTTTTAGACAAATTTGCGTATAATATTCCCTGGCAATTGCCCATTGCAAGCTCGCGAATAAACTTTTCCGTCGTTGACGAATATCCACAAATGCACTTGTACTCCATACGATTATACGCCAGTGTGTTGGTGTGTAAAAGTCTCTTTTTTTATTGCTTTTGTTGTTGCAGTGAGCTCACGCGTAGCGAGCTGCGCATCATTCTTTCTTCGCATTTCCAATTTCGCCACGCACTTACTTTAAACTTTAAACGCACTCGTTTTGCCATCAATTGTGTTTTCACAAAATGCAAAAATT